ATCTAATGGGTTTCAAGATAATCTAATAGGTTTGATGCATATTCGTTAAATCCTTCTTGCATAATAGTGCAGAATAAACCCTCAATAAATCAAAATAATAACCCTAGTAATTCATCAGACCAATCAAAAAAATTAAATAAGGGGTTTAACTTAAATTTAGTGACTCTATTCAGGCCCAATATACTCCAATTGACTTATATGTTTTGGCAACCCGAATTAGTTATAAATATAAAATTTCAAATTATTACCTGAAAGAACATAATACTGACTAAATCAGCCAGTATTACTATGGCTAATGCTGGCTAACTTTGTCAGCATTATGTCCTTTCAGGAAACTGACTTTCGAGACCTCGATTTACATTGCGATATAAAAAGCTTGGAACAAGCAAAATATTTTTAATAGACATAAAAAAGGGTAAGGGTGAAATAAAATACATTCTACTAGCAATTAAGTAACGTAGTGATGAGAATCATGTGCAATAATATTTAATATTGTCTATAAACTTTGAAATTCTTCGTAGATCAGAATGATTTTACATGTTGATAATAATGTTATATCACTCGTTACCTTGCTATTTTCACTGTACGTAAAGCAAAATAAAAAACTCTTTGAAGCGAATATATAGTTTACTTTAATTATTTCCAGGTTTAATCGTGGAAAATTTCTAAGATCTGGAATTAATGTTAACTGTTCTACTACAATAAATCAATTACTCGTTAATTAAACACTTTAAAAAAGTTCATAAAGATTTTTATCATTGTTAATGGATAAGCTGTTAATTTTTCATTTTGCCTAAATTCTTTTCAAAAAGAAGTGGTTTTAAGTAGAACAAGAATTAAGGTTCGTCTTAGCACAACAAAAAAAAATTAACAAATAAAGAGCATAAAAAGAAAAGAAAATGCTATTTATATCCAGAAGCAAGATCAAGTAGACATGAAACCATTTTTTGTTCTAAAAAAGAGAAAAAAAATCCTTCATTTTGGCACCAATTCTAATTAAATATATTTTTCTTTTATCTGCTATTCTTGCATTTATTTTATTCTTGATTTGTCGGTCAATATTAGCAATTAATTAAGCGTTAGCTGTTAGTATTAGATGTTAATCAAACGACCAATCAAATGAATTCTACTATTACTTTGTCATCGGAGTTTTATCAGATGACCGATACATTGTTACGACGGAAAAGTAAGCACATATTTTGTAAATTTAAATATATTAATTGTTTATATCGAAACAATTTTAGCAAAACCTTTTCAATCAAACTTTTCATCAAAAAGTGTCAAATTAACTGAGTTGGAAATGTTAAATAGTTATAAACAAGCCTGTTTTTTTTTTTTGATTCAGATCTTTACAATTGGTACGGTTCAATTTTTGGTGTTAATGTATTGTTTTTTTTTAAAAAATGACTTATTATTTATAAAATAGTTTTCATCGACGATGGCATATATATAGCTTGAAGAATTTCATGATAAAATGAAAAGAAAATCTAAAATATACACCAAATTTATTTGAAAATTTAAACAAGATGAATGGATAATTTTTTAAAAGGAATTGGAAGTGTATTTATAAAAAAATGAGAATAATTTAATTCAGAAAGAATCAAAAATAAAAAAATGGTGGTGGAGATGGAGATGATATATGATTAATATTCTATTAATAATTTTTAACTACATAAAAATTCATTCATGCAAATAACTTAAATGACTTGGCTAATCTGTATTAATGCTATATGTCAGAATGGAATCTTGGTAGATTTAGAATCAGCTTAAGTTGATTATAAATACACCTAAGTTGAAACGGAATTTTAAATCCACTCAATTTGTTAAAGAATTTCGAACTAACTTAAAGTTGATTTAACGCATATTTAATTTTAAAATTAAAAGCATTCAATTCAATTTAAATAGCAATACATTTATGCAAATATATTCTAATTGCAAACGTGATTATTGTAATGACAGATACTTCCTCAAAATATTGCATTTTTTTATTTGTAGCAATTTATATTATCTATATATGTGACACCAATTGTGCTTTTAGCGCACTTATAATTTTCAAGATATTATCCAATTCGGATTGAACCCTAAAAAAAAAATTTAAATCATGTGACAGATAGAATTAAGCCTCCACCTGGAAGGCTAATCAGTGAAATTAAATAAATTTGAACTTGGTTAGAAATTTATTAGTGACGATTGGTTTTGATGTTACTGCATTGAAAAAAATTCGGGTTGTTCAAGTTCAATTCTTTAATGAATAATTGTAAAACGTAACTATACAGTATTGCTCAAAAATAAATTAAAAGAAACATATATTTGTTTTTAATTTTAAAGCTTGAATGTTGCAAATTACATAATGCATTACAGTTTCGAAGATCCAGTATCTGATGTAAATTACAAAATATGTTATATATTCTGTTGATAGAACATATTAGCAAATTTGGTTGTCAATATTACAAGATTTTGTAAGCTAAATGTTTTTGATCCATGATCTTAACAGTTCCAATAGTTGTATTTAATGGATTTTGAAGAACTTTAATACAGTTTTCAAATGCATTGCAAAATAAAATTGAATATTATAACTCGATCATTTTTAAAATCTGACGAATAAGAATCTCAATTTTATTTACATTTTTATTGTGTTTTTTTTTTCATATAAAATTATTTCTTTTGATTCGATAATGATTAAGTTTTAAATCCACTTATTACCAACTTAGAATTCCATTGCAACATAAGTTGATTCGGATCTACAAAAATTTGATTTCAACGTACAATATTAATATTCGACATGTCTTTCAAGAAATGTTGGCTATTTCATTAGCAATGCCACAAAGAATCAATCTTTCAACGGAAGTTTGTCTAATGATGATTTGTGACACATTTGTATAGTTATCATTTATATCGACTTTCACTTTATCATGGATAAGTGAAATTGCAGCAGAATGATATATTCGCAATAATAATCTTCAGATTTAAGTCCCAACCTTTCGTGCTATGCTACGTCACGACATGTAATAATATCCGTCGTATTATTACAGTATTACAACGCTAATAAATTGTTTCTATTTAATCTTCTAATTCAACTAACTTAGAGCGATGATTTTTCGATAATAACCTATCCAAAATCGATAAAAATTTTTTTTATTAATTCATAGAATCAAAATAAAAAAAATTTCTATTGATATTAGGTAGTTATCGAGATAATTCAAAGATTAAAAAAAGACGATGATCAAAACAAAGACTGTGATTTTCCAACTTTGAGCGATGATATCTCGATAATTACCTATCTAAAATCGATGAAAATTTTTTATTTTAATTCTATGAATCTATAGAATTGAAATAAAAAAATTTTCTTCGATTTTAGATAGTAGTTATCGAAATATTATCGTTCAAAATTTAGATAGAGCTTAATCGCGGTCTCTTAAATTTTTTTTTTTTTTATTTTAATTCCATAAATTCAATAAAAAAAATTCTTATCGATTTTGAATGTATCCGTATTATTTCACCGATAATCACTTTGTAGACACCACATTTCACTGACAGTCTATTTCACCGAAGCTCATTTCATTGACAAGTTTTTTTTTTATAAATTACACTAACTTTAATTCTAATGATTTTGACCATAATTACTTTGTCTGTAAAATGAGCTTCGGTGAAATGAACCTGTCGGTAAGTAATTGTCGGCGAAATGTGGTGTCTACGAAGTCGGGGAGTTGATCGGGTCCCATTTTGAATAGGTAGTTACCATGATATCATCGCTCAAAGTTTTTGGCCGTGGTCTTTGTTTCGATAATCGTCTAAACTTTTTTGGATTTTAAACACGGATAAAGAACTTAGCCGCAGTTTTTGTTTTGATAGTCATCTAAATTTTTTTAAACTTTGTGCGATGATATCTCGATAACTACTTATCCAAAATCGATGAAAATTTTTGATAGATAGTTACTGAATATCTTCGCTCAAATTTGGAAAAAAATTATGTAATGTTATCAAGGATCGTCGATTTCGTCCAATCAGAACGTGATAGTTCGAGTAGAATCTCGCAATGACCTTTGCCATAGCTTGGTTACTAGAATTTTACGGCATTTGATTCATGATCAATCATATACTGTGTATAGTATAGATTTGCTTATTAATTTCGGACACATAACAAAGCCTAACCCAAAATGTAATTGAACATTTGAAAATCATTCGCGACGACTACGCACTTTGTCGCGAATGATCTTCAAATGTTCAATTTCTAAAACATTTGATATCAAGTGCGTAAAGATAAAATTTTATACTGTAGTTAAAATGTTAGTAGCTATGAGTTGTATAAGTGAACCATCCCCTTACTATACGTAAAATTTCATTCTAGTTATTCTAGTTTTTTTAGCATTAATTTTTAGCATTAATTTCAAATTTTTTTTTTTTTTTGTAGGTTTGGAATTTCATTGATGGCAAAGTTTCTTTGTTAGGAGTTTGTACTTGCGAAAATGCCACGTGAAAATGATCATTTATTTACCAGATTAAGCCTGACGTTCGTAATTAAAATGTTAGCTATGAGTTGTATAAGTGAACCATCCCCCTTACTATACGTTTTTTTTTTTTTTTGCACGGTTTGGAATTTCATTGATGGCAAAATTTCTTTGTTAGGAGTTTGTACTTGTGAAAATGCTACGTGAAAATGATCATATATTTACCAGATTCAGCCCGACGTTACGTAATTAAATTTACTGCCATATACTATCGTTAATCAGGTTTTCAGGGGCAAATCTAATAATATATAAATAAACTTGAAAGCCTGAGTTTTTTTTCGATAACATTTTTTCTCGATAGCGATAGCACTTATTGATTTGAACGATGGGTAAACAAAAGAAAACAAAACATGAACATAAAGTTAATATTCCACCTATAAGCCGAAAATCCATATTTGATTATACAGACCAGTTTGAAATGGTGAGTATTTTGCTCACTTTGTATGGGTTATCTAGCGTACCGCATGTCATAAGTTACGCTGCCCTAGTAAGATGAATCGCGGAATGATGCCATTTCGTGCTGATGAAAAGGTGTAAGACAAATTTGCGGTTGTAACGATGATATCTTTAATACTCACTATTTTTTTTTATTTTTTGCAGCTTTCAGACGACGAAAAAAACAACACTTATTTTTTGTTAATAATGAATGTTTTAAAAAAAATCGAACATGTTGAGATTATAAAGATCGAGAACGATACGATGATCGGAAAATTCAAGAGCCTCGATTTCGTTGTAAAGTGTATATACCTGCCATGGTTTTTAATAAAGCCACCTAAAATTAAAAAATTTTTACAAGAAATAAAGCACATGCCTAATAGTGTGTTCGGTTTTTTTGTTTCGAATTCTGCGTTTTCAAACGTAATTATTGAAAAAGTAAAACAGGAAACAAAGGTTTTTTTGTGTCATGAGAGCGATTTAATTGATACTATCAAATATGTTGAGCAAAACAAGGACAACGTTGTCAAAAATGTTATTCAAAACTTTGAAATAATGGTTGAATTTCAGCAAGAACTAATCAGGTGTCAACAGGCATTAATTAATACGCTGAAAGATAAATACTTATAATTCTAAATGCTTTTTAATCGTAAATTTTAACTGCTAACAACCATTCTCATAAGATCTTTTTTATCTTAATCCAACCACCGTGATACTACATACATATTCGTTTAGTTTACATTGAAGACGTTTACATTTTCACACTATATGGTTCAACTTTGTATATAATGATCAACTTTTTATAATGCATATTATTCTTCTACTTCGTTTGCAAAAATTAGAAGTTTTAATTGATTTTTTTCGGTGAATAAATAAAATCGCTAGAAAATAATTCTTAATAACTATTATCATAATTCCTGAGACACCAGTAAAAATTAGCCGAATGATTTTTCGTTATTATTGTAGATTTAATAAAATTACATTAAATAATGCAATAGCACATGACTATTGCACCAGCATTACCTGGACATCCATCTTAGTGTTCCGAACTATATATAATTATTTATATGTATATATATATTTATTTATGTGCCAGATCTACGACCAACGTTCTTCACATAACAAAATTACATGTAATTTGACTTCAGAAATTTATACAAACTTATGCAAAATTATACGTAGTAATTTTCCAACCCTATATCTAATTTATGAATTGCATATATGATACGTACTTTTTCTGCAGATAATTTTGTCATTATAAATGTCGACACGTCCAATGTTATTAAATTTTCATGAATGTGCGAAAACTTACAGGAAATATAAAAAGGCTCCAGATATATTATAATGAACATATTACATGAATAGATGCCGATATGGTCAAGAATTTGTCGACTGGTTTAAAAATGTGACTCAAAATTCCGTTCAAAAAATCTTGATTTTATTAATATTTGTCGCAGAAGTTTTCAATACATCCATATCTTAAAGTGCTTGAAAACTAGACTTATAATAGATATGTAACATTTAAGTGCTTTGCAATTTCGAAATGATAAGCTTTTTCAATTATTCACCAGCGAAGATGTTTTGAAGCATCACGTTACTGTATTTGAGATATTCGTATTGGTATAATATATATTAGTTACCTGATCTTAAATTACATACGTACGTATATCTGTAATGATTTAATTAAGGGATTTGCAAGCAGCACATATACGATCTATGTTTTGAGAAAAAGATAGTTTCACTTCTACAGTTCTAAGCTAACATATGTATCTTACAATATAATTAGTATTCTTTATTATAACGAACTATTTTTGTTATTTCATATTTTTATACTATCTATGTTTTTTCCTTTTACGCCAAAACCTTTGAAGTATCTTATTTTGAAATGGCGTTTTGAGACTATCGACGAAATCAACTCGAAATTGATTGGTTGGAATTCACGTTATTATCTACATAAATTTAATGATTCTTTTGCTACACATTTAACAATTATTTTATCTATCTATTTTATTGAATATAGATTGAATTGTCATAACCCATTTAAAGACTTAAACTGAATTCGCTTTAAAGATACGTTCGAACCCAATCATTGCTTAGATATATATTTTTTTTACACATTTAATATAGTCTCTTGATAATAGCTAAATGGTATCTAAATTTCATTTAGAAAAATGTAAAGAGGCTAATTTTCATTTGATTTTTATTCATTAGCTAGATATTATCTTATCACAGTTTCGAGATAAAATATAATTTTGATTTTGATTATACTAGGAAACAGGAACTGTTGAGGTCCAGAGCCTTAATACCTAGATTTCAATTTATAGCTCTTTAAAAATTTATAATATATCATTTAAAATAACAAGGCTACCACCAACAACAGTTATTATTTCAATAACTTTTTTCTCTTTAAGCACACATACATAACAATTGTTGAATTATTGTAGTATGTCAATAATGAATAGAATGCTTCCAATTCAATAACTTCCATTTATTGATTTAATAATCTAAATACAAATATAAAAATAAGCAATTAATTTGGTTATTTATAAATAAATCAAATATTACTTACCGTCGGGAACTTCAACACAATCAATAGGTTGACTTCCTAAAATATATACATACTGTATAAATATTCTAAAACTACAGTTTGAATTCAATTTGAGAAATAAATATCATTACCTGCATTTACTATATGGACAGATTCAAAAATTTTTACAATTGATAACATATTACTAATTTTTTAAAAATATAAATAAATGGTTTATTACCTGGTTTAGGAAGTTTGGAAAGATTCAAAAATCGACTTGTATAAATAGCCTGTGGATGTGTCTGATATTTTAATTGTGCCAATTTTACTTGATTAAATGTTAAAAAATCTTTGTCTATGTCTTTAATATTTTTAACTTGCTTATATAATTCAGTTTTTTCATTTTTCAAATCACCAAAAAATAGAAGCAGCTTATTAGCTAATTTTTCAGCAGTTGGTCGGTTTTGAGGTTCTGCGTCTAAGCATTTATTCATCAGATCCAAAAGTAATTGAGGAACTTCGCATCTAATTTTAGGCCTAAGGCCATAACAAATTTGAATTGCTAGTTCATTATCATGTGGAATGTCATGGTATGGAGGATATCCAGTAAAAACTTCTGACATAACTATTCCGAAAGAATAAATATCGGATTTTTGAGTTATTCCCTTCCATTTGTATACAATGCTTCTGGTGCAATATAGGGAAGCACACCGTAAAGCGCTTTAGAATTTGAGTCTTTGATACTGGCTTACATAAGCCAAAATCAGTAATGTAAGAACTATACATAGTTTGATTGACTATATTTCCGGAATGAAAATCTTTATGCACTAATTTGGCTTTATGAATTGTATTAAGCCCATCAGCTATATAATATAGGTTAGTTGTTTTAGAAGTCCAACTTAATTCATTATATTTACTATCTAACAATTTTCGGAGACTTCCCTGCTTCGCATATTCCATAACTATCATGTAGTTACCATCTTTTGGGTTCTTAGTTATTCCATAAATCGTAATTGCATAATCGCCCCCATGTCTATGTTGATTTTTAACCTAATAAAATATTAATTAGGATAAATAAGATTACTACACTTTAATAAAAACAAGTTATAATACTTACTTCTTCTAAAATTCTTGGTTTATATCTTTAGAATTATCAAGACTTTTTAAACAAACATCATTCCAAAACTAACATAAACATATCCATGTCACTTGTATCACCACAATAGTCGGTAAGAATTTTATACAGTAAATCATTATAGAAATCACGTTCATTCCAAATACAAAACTAACAACCATATCTAAATCATTTGCATCACAATAGCGAGTAAGTACAGTAAACCAGATTTTTTACAGTAAAACACTATAAAAATCACGTTCATTCCAATACAAAACCAACATAACCATATCACTATAGCTCGTAAGTACAGTAATCAGATTTTTTACAGCAAATCACAATACAAAATTAACATGACCATATGATATCTAAATCACTTGTATCACTATAGATCGTAAGTACAGTAAACCAGAAATTTTTACAGTAAATCGCTATAGAAATCACGTTCATTCCAATGCAAAACTAACATAACATACAATAGTCTGTAAGAATTTTTTACAGTAAATCAATAGAAATCAATACAAAACCAACATAACCATATTTAAATCACTTGTATCACCACAATAGTTAGTAAGTACAGTAACCCAGAATTTTTACAGTAAATTACTATAGAAATCACGTTCATTTCAATACAAAAATTAACATATCCATATCTAAATCACTGTATCACCACAATGGTCTGTAAGAATTTTTTACAGTAAATCACTAGAAATCACGTTCATTCCAATACAAAAGCTAACATATCCATATCTAAATCACTTGTATCACCACGATAGTCGGTAAGAATTTTTTACAGTAAATCACTATAGAAATCACGTTCATTCCAATACAAAACCAACATAATCATCTAAATCACTTGTATCACTA